AGGGATATAAGGCTATAAGGTCGAAGGCTAATGGACTATAAAAATATGTGCGATGTAAGAGTATGAGGCCGTAGGGCTATCTATCCGTATACATAATATCGAGTGTCTGTATGTCCGTTACCGAATGAAAAGTTAAGCGTCCGTCGTCATACGTTAGAGGAAAAACAACCAACCGTGCAGTATGCACAGGCTCTCGCTAGTAGAGTCAATATTGATGGTAATGATGCTGTTACTTGGATCTATCTTGACGATAAAGATAGGACACTAATATTGTGCATAATTGTGACGTTAGGGGTGTGGCTGCAAGCCGATGTTTGGGTGAAGAAAAGATTCATGTTCAAACCTTCTCAGAGTGCTGAACTGAGCGGTACGTAGCATCTAAATGTGCTGAAAATACCTATTCGAACTGTATGCTCTATAAATTTTGGAAGATATATTCAGCAGATTGATGATATTATGGGTTTAGCACCGCTTACATTATGATATACGGACCAGACTCGTATAGATTTTTTCGGTTTGTATGACTGATTGGGCTCGAATTCATAGAAACTAGTCACTTTAGAGGGTAGAACACAAGTTCGATGTAAAAAACATGTAATTCTATGTTAGTCAGGAACGTATGAATGTCTAGAGAAAAACGACGAATGTATCAAAAATGATTTTGATACATGCAACAATTTAGTTTGAAAACAGTTCGACTCTATCAAGAATATTCCAAGAAATCTTTTGGTATTCATTTCTAGCTATTCTAAAACATTATTGTGTCGCTTCGCATACGTTAAAATCTTCCATTTGCTTTTGTGCTGAATATGGACGGCATTTCGACCAAAACGTCATATCTCGGTAAATTATACGACTTTCAATAGTAGATTCAGCAAGAACAACTACTTTTACGTTGGCCCACACATAGGCCATTACTAAAGAGTCCCTTTTGCAAGTGAAATGTATAGAATACTAGGAATTCAGGCGTTTGAACTGAAAACAAAAAGGGCACATGAGGTCGAATATTGATCCATTTTTCATTTGAAGTGTCATCGATCCGAAGTCGGTGTGGAATTTCATCGCAGATTTGTTGATCAAAAAATGAAGTGCTTTTAAATTCCTTACGGGTGGGTGGGTAGGTATATTGTGGATCTACTCTTTACTCACTCTCACCCACACCCTATTATGAGTTGCTGAACTGCTCTTGAGAATCTTTCCGGCATACAAATGCTGGAAAACCTGTTTTTGAGTTTTCCACAATGAACTATGTTTCTTAGATCGCCTACCGATCTGTAAGCACGTCTACTTATGTCGTGTTTCAATATAACACTAAATCGTTATTATACGATCGGTTCAATACACGCAATTTATGAAGCTTTCAAGTTGAAACAGAAGAAAAAGTGAAGATGTTTGCGGAAATCGCATTCGCTATGAAATCACTTATTCACACTGGTGTCTTTATGAAAGACAAACCATCAGAATCATCATCAAAACAACTCATTTTTCTCGGCTTCGCAATGAACAAAATATACGCCAGTCCTCGGCCATTGCTTCGAATAACTATCGATTTTTTAACAACTTTTCATTTGAAGACTATCACTTAGGCCACCTATCATCTCGGAACTACGATTAAGAAAAAACTTCAGCCAAGTTCTGTTAAAACTTCGTATATGCTCGAGAAATAGATCAATACGTGTGTGTACTAAAAATCAGATTTCATCAGAATGTGGATGTGAATACAATGGTAGCTGTGTAGGTCTATTTTTTAACCGCACTTACTCACACACACTCTTATTCCAGTAACGATTTGGTGAAGTATGCTCGGCTCTTGCATTGCCTTATCTTTATAAGTAGAGTGTTGACAGAGAAACTTGTTTATCGACAGAACGCTATAGACACTGCACGTGTCTTTATTCTTTTCTGCATTAACAAAAATGTTGAGATCGTAGTCTGTTGTATTCATTTGTGTATTGATGAGAGATTTTTTTTTATGTAGACTTTCTACAAACGGTTGGAAAAGGCAGAGATTATCTTTCTCACGTTTTCCCGACTATTTGACACTTTCTCGAAGCCTCTATCCAATATGAGTATCTTCTTCACAAATATTACAATAGAAACGAAAACAAACCATATGTAGATATATATATCTTTGTATTATGATAAACAATATGGGTAGTTGTCTATGCTTTCCTACACACACTTGCGCAGAGACTTGTACTAATTCGTTCTCTACTATAAGTAAAATATATGCGTTTTTATTCCACAATTTACTGGTCACCACTAGAAAAATAAATATTTGATGGTCTACTACTGGTAATCGTCTAATGTTGTTGAATCGGATTGTTTCATTCAAACACATGATCAGACTATTCCTTGCTTATCTTTCGAGTTAAATAAATTTTTAACTGTAATTTTAAACAAGAGATAAAGACTATTCGATCTCGTAGATGTTTATAATCCTCATTCATATATTGTATTTTTACTCTCCTAGTACTTCTATTGATTCTTTTTCTTTTATCATTCATCATTAGACATTGACTTTTTACATGAGAATCCGTCGAGTTTTACCTTTAAATTATGCAATCGCAGAAGTTTTTTTCTTCTGAATATGCGCTGCGATCTTACTTGATTCGAGTATGTTCTTCGGTAAATAAGAGCGTGTCTTTATCTCTTCACAAATAAAAATGTGACAAAATGAAAGGTACAGCATGCTTACGATCGATTCTCTTTCTCGTTATTGACACATCCATCTTTTATTATTCCTATCAGTTACTTATTTTGATCGAGAAACAAAACGGATACTTTGAAGACTAGGATGCTTTAGAAAATATATTGCATAACAAAAATGTGATGAACAAATTGTAGGTAAGCGTATAATTTTTTATTCAAAATTTCCATGTTTGATTATGCTTGGAGTTTTATTTCAGATGTATAGAACATTTTATTTTGTCTCTTTGAAAATTTCTCTTTGTTTGAAAAGAATTCTTTCTTTTTTCTCACACGAAAAGAGAATCTTCGTAACATAAACTGATACACATATGAGAACAATCATTCGACTCAATAAGTTCTATGTGTAATATTTTGAGCGGTGGAAAATAGAAACAATAATTGGATTCATAGTTGGAATATTAGTTCACTTGAGTGAGTACTGAAAGAAGATATGGCAAAAATTCAAGAAAATTAATGCGCTCTACTAAGCGAAGAACAACGAAGTATAGCTTAGTTTAATTTTGAGTTCATGAAATATAATACCAATGATATCCGAGTTTTATTGAATTTTCATGGACTTCATAGTGTGGCAGAAAAGCTTGCGCAACCTCCGATGTATTTCTTATTTGTTTCGAACACCGAATTTTTTTCTATAAGTTCAAATTTGAAGAACTTTTACATAGTTATTAAAAATTTTAAGGAGCTTACTTATGTTCGATTTAGATTTTGTTGCATTATTGTGCACTTCGTTAGATTCTCCAAGTCTACTCAGAGAATTTATTAGTTTTTCGATGTTTCGGTTCTGTTAAGAGTTCTAAAAGTACTAGAAAAAATCACAGTTTCCCATTGATTTCCGTGATACGCGAATTTCAATTATTTTTCAGTTATGTCTTTTGAATTTTATTCTATTTTTGTGGACTTCACTAATTACTATGAAAACCGAAAATACGCTTTATTATCCTTTGTGTTTTTCTAAAAAAATTAGAAGTGTGTAATTCACTAATAAGATCTATGTATTGTGTTTTAAAATGAAATATGATTGTTGATGAAATATTCACACAAAGTATGACAGATATGTGTCATTGAAAGTATTAATAGTACTCTTTCGAATTTTGTCTTTAACAGACAGTGAAAATTTTCAATAGTGCACAACATAATGGATCGAAACAGTGACAAACATCTAAGTAGTCACTGCATCAATTTTGCGAGCGATTATCGAGCTCTCTCCATCAAAATGTTTCTTCTCACTAAACGAAACCTTGGTCAGACAATAGCTGAGATTCTTCTTGCATGTATATTTATGGGTCTACTTATCGGTATGCGTTACGTTCTCATTCGTGATTTCAATGCTGCCTATCAAACACCACGTTTTCGTCCACAAGATAAAATGTTATTTAGTGAGCTACAAGCGAACATAACCTATTACTATCCTGGTAGATATTTGTTTGTATTCCGATTTCGAATTTGTTACATTTTCATGTATAGCAAATCCTTGTACAACCGCAATTGTCACCAATACTATCACTCAATTGTCAACTCAATGGTCCGCATTTCCTACTGCCGGTTTGTAGTCATGATATTTTTGATTTGTTTTCAACAGTCGGTGATAACTCTTAAATTTAAATTGTACACAGTTAATGGGTGGCATGTCGATGGTTTTCTTTTCAGGGAAAATGATTGAGGAGTAATAAGAATAAAAATCATTTCTTGACGAAGGAAATTTTTGATATTCATAGCGCATGTCACTTGAAAAACTTATGCGTGCGCCATTGCATATAAGTCTCTTTATTTCAGTACAAAGTCTTTCTAATCCAAACATTTCTTCACTATCAAATATGACACAAGCGACAATTTATGCCTTTATCTATTTTACCAATCTTGATTTTTGTACCAGTCCATCCACAATGCCAGATACAATAGCCTATACTCTACGCATGCAAGAGTATGCTAATTTTGTTTTCTTTTCTAATGCTATAAAAATAATCCTAATACATAGAAATGGTTCATATTATTATCGTGCTCAATCGGTAAAAATTGATCCAAATATTTATCGATGGAAGCGTTCTCCCAAAGATTTTTGCCGAGGTATCGATCATTTGTTTTCCTTTTGGTCTTTATAGATCAGTGTCGTCCCGTGTTTAGACATTAGTACAACTACTATGTATACTTCTCAATTTTTGGGCATCCAATATTTTATTGATTTGTCAATTATTCAATACTCGACAAACATCAGTCAGAATCCATCGAGTGTAAGTCAATTTTGTTTCTTTTTATTTGTACAAATCGAAGATAAATGATCATAGATATTCATGAATCATTTCGGTTGTCCTGAATATTATTATGATACATTTCAATCGGAATTTGGATTTTTTATTCCAATCTTATTTTCACTTACTTATATGATGACATTCATGTTGAACGTTGGCTACATTGTTGAGGAACGTCGGAATAAAGCCAAAGTAAAAAAAAAACTAAGAAGACGCGATTGAATACTTTTTTTTCACTATGTGATTGAATTGTATTCAGGAATATTTACGTATATTTGGTCTTCGCACTTGGATTAATAATTTAGTATGGATCACTCGTTCGATGTGTGTCTATGTTGTGCTAAGTAGCATTTTAACTGGTTTCAGTGTACTTGTTTTACCCAGTTCGGATACAACATCAAAGAGTGTTGGCAAAGCCGTATTTAATTATGCTCATTGGACATTGATATGGACGATTTTATTCGTTTATTCTATTCATTTGTCAAGTTTTAGTATTTTTTTTGGACAGTTTTTTAGTCGTCGTAAGTTGACTTCTTTTTTTCTCTTGCTCATCTTTTTTTAATCGAAAAATTGTTTTTTATTAAAATGTTATAGCTTTATTAGCAAAATTTCTTGCTTTTACCATATGGATTTTAACTTTCATCGATTTTTATATTGGAGCACCAGTTGCCATTCGATATTTAATGTGTCTATTTCCTAATACTGGTCTCTTGTTTTGTTTGGAAGTCATTCAACAATACGAACGCAAAAGTGGTGAGTGATTTTTACTTGAATTGTGCATACACATGCATACAGAACATTTCAAATTTTATTTATTTTAGTCGATATGGCCACATTCAGAGAACTTTATTCCAATATATTTATTTACCCATTGTACATCGGTATTTGCCTTCTTCTTATGATTGTCTATTCAATTATCTATATGATTTTGGCTGTATATATTGAACGTGTCAATCCAGGTCAATTTGGTATATCACAACCATTCTATTATCCATGTTTTCTGAGAAACAAAAAAAATTCATCAACAGTATCAATTAGTGATTATGAAGAGAATGTTTGGTCATCAACGAACAGAACAAAGACTAAAATTCATGAACATAATCATTGGATCGAGATGGATTCGAATATTGATAAAGTTTGTCCATTAATGCGTATAAAACATTTAACAAAAGTAGGCTATTTGATAATTTCATTTTTTTTCTCATGTTTATTGACTCGTTAATAGGTATTTGGCAAATTGGCAGCTGTCTCGGATTTTTCGTTTGATTTCTACAAAGGTGAAGTATGTGCATTATTAGGACACAATGGTGCAGGCAAAACAACGATTACATTTATTCTCGTCGGTATGCTATCTTTATATCAAAATGATATAGATCTCGATTGAATGTCAATTTCTATAGGTATGATGGAAGCTACATCGGGTTGTGTTATTTTACAAGGTCTAGATCATCGAATACATATTCAAAAAACTCGAAAAATGATTGGTTTCTGTCCACAATATGGTATAAACCGATGAATTTTTTTGTATAAAGAATCAGAAATGAATATTCTGTTTTTATGATCAGATATTCTATATGATAAACTATCTGTTCAAGAACATTTGGAATTGCTTGCACAAGTATATTATCATAATCAATGAATTGTTATTGACGATTTTCATTATCAATATTTGTAGATACGTCATTTAGATCGAACAACAATCAATAAATCGATCGATACTATTCTAGATTTGATTGGACTTACCAATGATCGACGTACACTTTCGAAAGATTTGTCCGGTGGTATGAAACGTCGATTATCAATTGGAATCTCATTAATAGGTGATCCAAAAGTAAGTCCAATCAATTAATCAACTAAGAAACATCACATCATGTATCATATTGTTTTCTGGATTCTTATCGTATTCTAGAAAGACTTCAGCATTTCAAATTTTTACTTGTGTGCGGAAAATACAATATATCTACCTTTTTCTTTTTATTAAATGTAGGTACTCATTCTTGATGAACCGACTAGTGGCATTGGTAAGTGCTACTGATTGTTAACAAGCGAATAAAAAGAAACTGTACTCAGTAGTTATTCAAAATGGAAAGAAAAAAAAAATTTCAATTAATTGTGATATGAGACTCTTGTTTATAAATAAATAGTTTCATCTCAAAAAGTTTCATTTTTTGAATCTGAGCATTATCAGATAACATTAACATCGTCGCGTTAAAAAAAATTTTTTCGGTTTTGTTCTACAATGACTGTTTTTCATCTAGAAAAAAAATTACCAATGGTCATTTTTTAAGAGGATAGAAAATTTTCCGTTAAACAAAACTCTTTCCGCTTGTAAAAGAACATCCTTCACTAGTGATAATGTTTTCATGTGACAAAAATCAACAAATCTTGTAAAAATTTCTAAATGTCACTGGTGGAAGTTTTATAAAAACTTGAAAAGTCATTGTTCATCTATATAAAAAAACTATTACAAGTTTCTAATGAAAAAAGGCTCTTTTCATGAGACCAATTATTTTTGAAATTGGTCTCGTTATTGCTGGTCTCACAGGAATGTCGAGTTAATCAATTTTCATTGGGCATACATACATTTCTTGTTTAAGATCCGTACAATCGTCGTCTCATTTGGACGATCATTCAAAAAATGAAAGATGCTGGTAAATGTGTCATTCTAACGACACATTTTCTTGAAGAAGCCGATATTTTATCGGATCGCATTGCGATTATGAGTCATGGTCAGTTGCAAGCGAGTGGTACACCAGATTTTCTCAAAAAACAAACAGGTATAATTTTATATATGATAAACAAAAGAATTTCAATGATATTTAAAATAAATTTCAGAATATGAATATCGACTTTTTATTGACAAACAAGACATGTGTAATACTGATAATATTGCTCAATTTATTCGACAACGTGTTCAAACAGTCGTCCTAGAACGTGAAACATCATCGGAACTTGTTTTTGGAATTAAACGTGGTGCAACACAACATATTGGTCGATTGATCCGTAGTCTCGATGAACAATCTCAACAACTTCCTATCAATGGTTATGGTTTATCTATGACAACTATTGAAGAAGTCTTTCTCAGGTTTATAATAACGGATGTTCTATGAAGAATTGATCTCTCATAATTTTGTCTATAACTTTGTAATATTTCATTTCTCTGACTCATGATTTATATCAAAAAGTACGTCGTTTGATTCTCTATCCGTCGGTATAAAAGATAGGTTCAAATTTGACATATAGCAAATAAAAATGTTTTGTAAAATGGTACTTTGTTACAACTTTTGAGACAAAATTGATCATCCGTATTTTATAAAGTTCTCTCGACTGTCTTCAGTTGATGATCTAAAGTATTTATTATTTCATTGGGCAATTCAAAGACATATGTGAGCATCTAAGATAATCGAGATTGATAGTATTATACATTGCTTACATGGAATCAATGTCATTAATTGGACGCCGCTTCCGGAAATTTCTTTGAAACTTTAGCTCAGACCACATAAATATAAAATTAAAAAGATTCTATTCATTATGAATTTTCCAAATCACTGTATCGTTCAAGAAACATGAAATCTTTGCAGCTCGATTTTAGTGTAATTTGAGCCTAAGTTCTCAAGCAAAAACTGCATTGAAAAAGTATCATTTTGCCTAATATCTTTATTTAGTACGCGTCAAACTTCTACTGATAATCTTTTGTGATAAACTTTGATTTTAAAATATTCTGTACAGATGGTAGAGAATCAATCAAAGCTTGTTTACATATCAGCGAAATTATGAGACGTTCATTCTTTATAGGACATCCGTCAGATATTTTTTGTGAGTAAAAAAAAAACATTTCTAAAACTGATAATCATTTTATTCCCAATGATAGCCGTTTGTATATTAATATTTTTGATCGTTAACCGTTCTATTGAAATTTTAGACTTATTAAAGAAGAAGAACAAACAAAAATTGAACAGCATAACCATGATCGACAAGTCAACAGAGAGAATCTAGCAAAGAATAGTATGTATTTTTGCCAATATTCTAATTATATATAGTAATATGGATAACTTTCGATACGGTATTGAATAGAGACCATAGTCATATTTTGTTTGAATGCATCTGTTAATATTCATTGATTTTTCAGTGTTTTCTGTACACTACAATCATACATCTGGTATTCATCTCTTTTGTACTCAAGTTTGGGCATTGCTTGTCAAACAGTCGATTCTTAGTCGGCGACAAATTGCATTTCTTGTCGGCTTTTTTTTTATACCGATTATTCTCGAAATTTTAACAGTAGCCATTTTACCAACACCAAAAACTATTGAAGTATCAATGTTACAAAATGAACGTGTAGCAGATGCTCAAGTTCAATTATATCCATCTATCTATAATCCACATACTGTTATCACCTATTCGAATAACCACGATAGCAATGCTCAATCACGTCTTATTACCTATTTGGCAAATACAAATGCAACTATCAAACAAATATCTACAAATACAATTGTTAACGAAGTTGTATCTCAATGGAATGAATCCGAAGACATATTTGTAAATAAATATCAGATTGGCTTTGGTCTTTTGAATAATTTAACATCAAGTAATCAATCATTGGCATTTGACGTTTACTTCTCAACTGTAAATTATCACACCATGGCAACAAGTCTTAGTGTTGCTACGACAAGTCTATTTCAATTCTATGCAAATTCATCATCAAAAATGATAGTTACTACTAATCAACCGATATTGTCTCGTGGAGAACCACTTAGTGAAGAAGATCGTTTTTTTCAAATGATCTTTTGTTTCGACACACTTCCATTATCATTATTCAATTTTATCAATAGTGTTCTTGCGGCAGTATTTATTGGAATTCTTTCATCGAATTCAATACGTGAACGTCTAACCCATTCAAAAGATCTTCAATTATTAACTCATTTATCGAAATTTACATATTGGTTTTCTACGGCCTTATACGATTTTAGTATATGTTTGGTTCTATGCGCCATATTAACTATTATTGTAAAGGTAAAAGTAACAAATGACAATTGAATTCAAAATCGTCGTCTATTGCTTTAGATCGGTGCCGTGTATCGAGTTGATTCTGGTGCCGAAGTTCAAATCTATATAACCGATCAACATATGGGCTATTTATTTTTAATGTTTATTTTATATTCATTAGCGTCATTACCATTTATCTATGTATATTCTTTTATTCCGGGTACGGAATTAATTGGTTTTATTATATTTTTTATTGTGAATGTACTTGTGTGTTTTCTCGATGTCGTTCTTGGTTTTATTGGAGTATTTTCTGGTAGTAAACCATTGCCTGATGGAACTCTTGTAAATCGAACAGGAACAATTATGACAAATATACGTTGGGTCCTATCGGCTTTATTTCCGACAGTCAATCTTAAACATGCTCTATTTAATATTCGTCTACGCTCTAGTGATTTGTGTATTGCTGCAGTAAATTCAGTGATGGGCACAAATTATTCATCAAATGAACCGTGGATGTCATTGAGTGAACCTGGTCTAGGAATACAATTTTTGATTTTTATCGGTCAAATGATCTTCTGGTGGTTTATTGTTATATTTCTTGAAGCATTATGGAAAATGTGTTTGAAAAAAATTCGACATTGTTCTAAACGACAGAAACAAACTGTTGCAACAGAAATTGAATGGAATGATACAGTAGGAAATAGATACAAACAAGAAACGAAAAGTAGATGATTTGTAATTGTATTTTATTTTGAATAGGAACTTGATGAAGATG